TACATGAGCATGAATCATAATTGAAGGAAAACAGTTGAAAGGATACATAGGTTGGACCATGCATGGGTCGAACATAAATAGTCAAGCCTCTTGTTGGCCCATGCGTATTGTTTCATAAGTGAGGAAAACATGTAGGTTAAGATGCGTGTCCCGATAGCACTGATAAGGCCGGGTGATACCTGGTTGGCTGAACTAACCTGTCGTGATAACCATTGAGGCAATGAAGGACCACTTACCTGTGACCTGAAAATAGTAAAGAGCGGAGAGACTTAGGTGGCAGCAATCATTAGGAGGCCACTAAGTGTCCAACTTGAAATACGTTCTAACATGGAGGAGGAATACATTGATATTCTGGAATCTGCCATACACGGAAGTCATATGCTAACTAAGGTAATTGTTATAAACATCTAAGAGACTAACCAATATTAACCTTGCAACCCAAATTGAGGGGTTAATACAGTAGCTGGCTGGGGGAACGCTGTAAACAAGATTAGTATAAGCAATTAGAATAACCATGTGGCATAAATGTGATTAACAGCATATAACGTGAACTTAACCTACTAGTATTAAGACATAGATTAAAATACTAATAATGATGAACCTCTTAAGGGTATGCGAATTGTGAACCTGTCACATAATAACACTTGTTGTCCGGTAATTGATGGATACATGTGCCAATGTTGCCTGAAAAAATTAATGGATAGCCCAGAGACAGATTAGTGGTGAAACGTAGATAAGTGATAAACAATGCAATGGTCAAGTTGATAAAAAACAACATATATATATGAGAAAATTAACCGCGAGTAGAATAGGTGGAGAAAACAGAATAGTAGCAATATTGTATAACCGGAAACTGTAAGTAACTAGGATCAGTATCAACAAGAATATATGATGAATAGTATTTACATAGACCATAACAATGGACAGATAAGTTCAGTAGAATTGTAATTTGAACTAACCAGTGAATTGGAAGCCAACCACCACCAACCCCTAATTAGGATAACTAAACCAAAGTACCCTGCTTTAGCAGATGAGCCCCATGAGGCTATGCATAATGTATGTACAGAAAATGTATGTACAGGTTAATATTGTATTTCTTGACCCTATGTTTTGACCTAAGAATGAGCATGACCTAAAATAATATAGTTAGTTGTGACACCTGCTACGTAGGGGAGCCAAATACAATTTAGGGGTAGTTTGTAGAAAGAGTTCAATAAGCCATGGTTGGCCATTCATAGGCTTCCATGAGGATGAGAAGCAGTGGCTTAACTTGATGATGACATGTTAGTATAAAAATTTATCACCATGAAACTTATAAGCGTAGTATCGCAACTTGTCTGTATGCTAATTCTCTTATAGATATAAAACTTCTTGAAAAAGGACAGATAGCATGTCAAAAAGCCAATATCCCGTTGGATATCTTGAATGTACCGTAACAAGTACTTAATATTGACTTATGTAACCTATGCTCGAATGCGTAAGGAGAACCAGAGTGAGGCCTTTTTTTTTTTTTCGCTAATGGTTTCAATCTAAATGGTATTGTAATAATTGACATATACATGATTGACTGACTGGTAAATCAACGCAACTGAACGTACCTTATATGCGTTAAACACTTCATGACTTTTTATACATATTACAGTAACAGAAGGAACTTACCTTTACCTCATAGTACCAGCCACAATACTGCTTAATACACATAATTGTGCGGGCCTCACTGATTAACATACAAGCTCTTTAAACCTGTATTATAAGTAACATATAACTGGGCAGGTTTCCAATTCTAGACACCATTCTAATTCTAAGCAGATGCTTCACTTCTATAAGCCTTTTTAGCAGTACATATATATATATATCTATATATATATATATATAGATATATATATATATTGTGATTGGATAATTTGGTTATCTAGCTGTTGGTACCGTATGTGCCGAATAGCCATTCGGCTGTGATGCAAAGGATAGTTCAAGATCTTATAGAAGTAAGACTAGCTATGTCCCCTTTGCATGAAGCACCTAGCAGGAGTGCTCTTTTCCACCTTCTTGATATTGAGACATGTTTGGATAATCAAGTAATGTTTATACCCTTATAACGTACTGGCTTACTAGCTAATGCCAAGAGGCAAAACGATTAAACTTGGTTGGTGATGGATAAGGCCCTGCTAGATGCCAAGTGGCTTGAGAGGCTCTGTCTATGCATTGGCATGAGGGGATTTTGTTACCACTGAATGTTTTGGGGGATGTTGGCCTTTCGGGACTTTTAAAGCATAAGATAGAATGGGAGTGACAGGTGAGGCCCTCTCTATGGGAATAGCTATGAGTTGGGTTGATGGGCGTAGTACCTCTGAGGATGAGTATGGGTGTTAAAGACAGGACCACTAACCTAAGGCCCTAATGCATAGAGGCCTGTGAAATTATTTCCTTTTGGACTCCTGGTGCCCTGTCAGCCAGTAATAAAGCTAACTAAGGGGAGAAGGGTATGGTAGTGTATAGGTACGTGTATATTGATGTACCTGAGAAAAGCAAAACAATAATGTGGTTTAACATAAGAAGTGGATTGGAGCAGACCTAAAGGGGTCAACAAGATGGTTGTAGGAAATATAGTATGTGACGTAAAATTTGAGATATCCTGGTATACCTACAGTATAAGTAGTGCAGTTAGTTTCAAGCATGAGTAGGAGGTTGTTATAAATAGTAGATACCTTGATGGAACTAACGTACATGTGTGAATTGTAAGGCCAGTTTATGGACCCAATTGAATTAAGTTATGACAGACCTACCTAACTAGTGTAGGTATGCCCTAAAACCGGAGTACCCTGTAACCTGTAAAAAATATATAAATATATTTTTTTTATGCCCTTGATACAATTATCCTATAACCTATAACTCATTGTGAAAGAAAAGATTAATCTAATGGGATAATGAAACATATGATAAGTATGTATGTGACCCTGTAACATATTATACACATTATTAATGTCATCTGAGCCCCTATATGGCCAATGACCTGGGACCTTCTTGAGGGTAGAAACAGATTCAAGATAAAACAGTAGGCCTGTTAAGGAAGATAAAACACATGGTAATAAAAGGCAAGAGAGTATACTATACACTTGAGTAGCATTGAAGTAAGCAGTTTGGTAAGCTACCAGAAGGTGATTAAGGTAATGTACTATACCAAACTAGTGATAGCGTCTCATCATTAGTTAAGTGTTCAAGACCCGCACTACCCTGACTATAGAAAAATATACAAGCAACAGTATTCCTATTAGAAATGGAATAGTAGTAACATAGGTGCAAAGAGCATAGAACATACTGTTTGACCCTGGTGAAGCAGTATGGGAATGGAGTCTGCAGGTGATTTAGGTTAAAGGACCAAGACTTAGTAGTATTGAGTGTAGGAATACCCCAGGTGAGCATTAGAGAAATAATGAGTGAAATCTTCATGTAGACATCACATTTATTTAAATGAACAAATAAGGAGAATGACGAGTCATGTAATGGATAGTGAAATTGTGACCCTAAACGAATGAGGGGGACAACTATGGGAAGGATAATTCCTAGCATAGGGAATATGTATTGTACATCATATAAGAGAACAATGTTACATGACCTTCCAGCATAAACCCGGTGTGAGGTAGTATAGAATTGAGAGTGTAAGTGATTTCTGAAACCTATATTTATTTATAGGATAAGCTTACACCAGAAGTGAGAGGCGTAGTTAATTAAACTTAATACAAAATTACAATAGTAACTTAAACTATACAAGTGAATGGTATTAAGATAAACAGCTATTTATTAAAATAGTAACAGTGAGAATAGGAAAAGGACGAGCAAGAGAGAGCTAGCAGATGGGAAACTCAAGAGCAAGCAGAAACTATAACGTAGGTGAAAATCCTGAAGACCATAAAAACCGCTAAGGGAACGGGCAACACTCCTAAGAACAAAGCCCGCATTAGGCCCATCACTCTACACCCAGGCGCGCAAGCGCACAGAGCCTAACACCGAGACAAGTGTATGATATATGTACTGTAACCTGAATGACATGGAATGTTTTGACTTTACCTTTTTCCCCAACCCCTTTTCTTTTCTGTACCCAACGTTTAAAAAAAAAAAATGCAAAACAATAAAATATGAAAGAAGTATGCAAAACCGTAAGCACTTAAAATAGACCTAAACCGTGATGACTGTGACTATGGCGCGGCAGTTAGGTCAGTATCTTACGGTTTGGTGTGGTTCTGGTTTATTTTCCCTGGAGCTGCCCTTGAAGGTTGAAGAGCAGATGATCCTGAAAGCAGAGAGCCTTGGTCCTGGAGAAAACAGCAGGTACAGGGGAACCATGTGGAGAAACAGGTAATGTGACAGATTCATCTGCATTGCTGGTTCGTCTGTTTCCCTTTGTTCGCTGAATTGCCTGTTCATATAACCCCGTTCGTGTAATTTGCAAACTACCGATTGAAACTACCGAACGAACGACCACCCAGGAGAGGAGTGTGCTGCTGGTTAACCTCTTGGCCCCAATTAGAACGTTGTGGTTAACCGCAGACACCTCTCCATTCCATTCGTACGGGTGGTCGTCGTTCGCATGTCGACCACGAGGCAGCGGCCATTTTGGGACATACGAACACATAGCGGTGTTCGGTACAAACTGTATGGAACTAAAAACGGACACTTAAACTACCGAACACCGCTGGAAGCTGCTGCCTACCTTCCATTTCGACAAGGCATGCGAACGTCGGTCGTTCGGGAGTTTTTATTCATTCGTATGGACTTTCACCCAGACAGCCATCCCATGGAGTCATTCGTATACCGAAGGACTGGTGAAAGACTTTGACTCCATGGCGATTCGACTAGATACATCAGATCTGAGCGCTATTCGGTGAAAACATGCACTCAGATCCAGGCTGTCTGGGGATACGTTACACGAACTATATGTATTCGGTATTTCTGCAATTATGTATTTTAATGTATTTTTATTACTGTATTCCAAAATGGCGATTGTCTCTACCTTGGGAGATAATTAGGTTTCTTCCTAATTATCTCCGAGGTAGAGAAGACGGAATTATGGGCAAGATGGGAAGGGCTATTATTGAAGCCACTGCGATTGGCTACTGTCCAATATGTCTTACAGTCTTCCACAAGGTCCTCTCGGGGAGTGTCCACCTTGTGGAGACCTGCATAAATACCGGGCAGGTAGCCCCCATTAAACAGATCTTCATTTGACCCTCAACACGGAGCTTGGTCTCGTTTGTGGGGGAATTATTACTGGGACAGCGCTTTCGTTATTTTTAGCTGTGGAAGGCGTGTTCGTGGACTTCGTTCGGGAGTTTGGCGGTCGGCTGGATTTAAACTGCATTTCTGGAGAAGGGGATTATTGACTAAACGGCGGCTTCATTTACCCGACGGTACGTGTCGTAACAGGTAAGTTGCAAGATGGTGACCTGCATGTGACCCAGAAGTAGTCACATGCAAATCGCTAGAACAAGAACGGTGTGAAGCAAGCTAAGGAGTCCATTTAAGTAGGGAAATTATGCCCCTCTCACAACTACAGGCAAAAGCTATATATATATGGAGTAACCTTATGATGAAACTTAGGCGTTAAAGGTTAAAAGTTAAATGGACACTATAGGCACTGAGACCGCTTCATCTAATTGAAGTGGCCCGGGTGCAGTGTCCCAGTCCCCTTAACATTAAAGGGCTAAAACTGTCTACCAGGCAGCCACTAGAGGTGATTCATGCAATTTCACAGAGTTTAACTATGTTTCTATGATTCTATGAGAGCAATCAACTGCGGACAGCGGAGGAGGCGAGGTTGAGACAGAGGCAGCATTGAGGGACTTTGCCACCTAAAAGAGGTAAGTAAGGGTGTTTTAACCATTCCAACACTGGGGATGGGGTGGGGGGTGGACAATCACTTTAGGACATACAGACATGATAGCATTATGAATACAGTTTTGTATTCTATCAAAATGGTAATTTTTGTGTATTCTTAAACTGAGATCGGTTGCACAGGACTGTTTTGATTTTACTGATAATGTGATTGAGAATAGATGCGCACAGTGTACCCTTAAGGTGAGCAAACCAGTATTGAATCAGTAAACGAATAAAAAATGATTTTGCAGTTTGAACAGTAATGTTAGTTGTTCAGAACAGCTCATTTTTCAGACATTCTCTCAAGTACAAGTCTAAAAGCAATGTAAATAAATAGTTCTTTCTCTGCATCACCTTAGTACATTACAACCTATCTCTGTAAACCAGCAATGAACAAAGCCATGCACTAAAAATTCATAGAGAGGAAAATCAAATCAGCATCTAGAACATTTTGAACTAGACAAGTCCATGCTTGTTGCCAATCTTAATACTTTACTTTAGAATCTATTGTTACCGCAAATTCTGTTTATTTGTCTTGCACATATTTAAATGGTTCTCTTTAAAAGGACACTGTAGGTGCTAAACCCATTCCATCTGAATTGGTTGTAGTGCCCAGAGCCCTCTGACACTATCCTGCCATTCAGTGATAAACCATTAGCATCTGGCCTCCCACAGTGGTATGGCTAAGGAAGAGAACACGCTTTATTTAGTTATAGTAATTCATAACAGCAATAGGCAGTACCATAAACTGAGAATAGTAAGCTGACAACCTCAAACAGTCACACCTTACCCATTGCTACTCAGGTTAATACTTCCATGGGCTGCTAGAGACTCTCATTTATCATTAAATCAATAAGAATGGTTTAACAATGATTAGAAGGACGGCACCAGGGACCTTCGGACTCCATATCCACTTCAATAAATTGAAGTAGTTACCTTGCCTACAGTGCCCTTTAATTTGTTCAAATCAACACTTTTGAAGTATGTTAATATGAAAGTGCAGTGATCAAAACCTTAATGATTAACACAAAGCATGATCAATGATCATCTATGTGTTTACGTACAACTCTTTTGGTGAACTAATGGGGGATTTAACTGCTCAACTTGATAATGAACTAGTTATCAGAAAACATCTCCCTTTGGAGACTCTGAATCAGTAACAAAAATGCTGTTATGTCTAGACGTAAAGCTTTGTTGTGTTCCAAACTGCAGTTCATTTGAATTTAGGCTGATCAGTTAAACGTCTGAATTTCCAAATGCCAAGCCGAAAAGAGGCCGAATCAAGAACCAAACAAAACGCACAGTGGACAAGTGTGTTTTCTTTGCCTGGTGATTTAGAATTGTCAGTGGAGACAATTAATGGGGAAAAAGAATGATTGATAGCTAGGGGACAACCACCAAATATCGATTAGAATTCACAGATCAAGTGAAAAGTGACCAATAGAGAAAAAAAGAGGATCAATAAAAAAATATATATATATATATAATTATACATTTAAATATTTAGTATATAAATCTAGAAATATAGATTTTTTTTTATACTGCCCCTTCTCTTTTTCTTTGCACATCGATTGGCAGCTAAAACAAATTCCACTGGAATTCTAGATGTGCAGATAGGGCACAGGCAACATTCTGGTTTGTTTATACATTTTGACTGATGAATACTACAGTCGTTGTTGCCACCTAAGACTAATAGAAGGTTGAGTGCAGGTCTGGTTCACTTTTCACCACACTGCCATGTTACAATGCAACAGTCTACCCAACGTGTGTCCTATTTTTAAATATTTATTTAATGTCTGTACACAAACTTTTAAAAATCCTTCTATATACATTTTCACTGTGCATTCCTTCATCAATCTGTCAGATAGTAAATACAACAATGTTGGAATTAATTTCAGTATCTGGCTTTTCTCCGCTATATTATTGCCTGACATGCCAGGTCGTATCCATCTGCACCTCTAAATTTCATTTATACGTGCTTTTGGTTCTTTTTATATATTTTTTTCTCATACTTCATCTAGTGAGTCTGAAAGTAGTTACATTATGGCTTGGTGGGGCCTGCCCTGACATACAAGACTATCCAAGCTCCTATTCATTAAATGGATATTAGACTCCGAGGTTTGTATTGGTGTAAACTGCAAATAGTTTGAATTTGGGTTCATGGAATGATCAGTTTAATTCCTGAACTGCGAGCCACAAGGTAGCTGAATCACAAACCAAATGACACACGCTATAGACAAACATGTTCATTTGGACTTGTGAATTTGAATTCTGCCTGAAACACCAAAAAAAGAGATGAACGATAGGAAAAAAGATTATTAATGATGATTTTATTCACAGATCAAGTGAGAAGTGATCAATAGGAGGGGCATTAAAAAAATCTATATTTAACAAATAAATATATAAATATACATTTATTTCTGTTTCTTCTCTTATTCTCTTTATTGGTTACTTTTTCTGTCTTGATCTATTGCCCAAATAGCAGGAAAATTCTCCTATCAGATCATAATCTTTATATTATGCATATTTTGCAGTACACTGACTGGCCCATTTTTGCACCCTTTTGGTTTTATCAGATTTGTTTTCTGAATCGTTTTTTCACTTCTGGAATTCTACCAAACAGATTTATGGCTAAAATGTTTTATTTTTAAAAAAAAGTGATTCAGCCGAACCAAATGTTCTTGCCCTTCTCAAGTCTAATGCATATGCCAATAGGATAGACTCCCTGTGAGCCTTAAAAGGGAAGTACATGTTTTGACTAAGTGGACATTATCACAACTCCTGATGGTAACATCTAAATTATTGCTGAATTGCTGGTGGAGGTTCCAGCATAATCCTTATTATATACATGCTATATTAATCTTATCCAATCCCAATAAGGGTGATGACCACACACACAGATATTAACAGTTATAGCATTAATTATGACTTTTTCCAGGTTGCTAAAAAATGGCTAAGATATGCTTTAGCAAAGGCACAATTAGGTAGACTAATACAATTTAAAGAAAATTAGGTAATTAAGAAGGTATATGGAAGTCCAGGAAAGTTTTATTATTCTAAGGAAAATATTTATTGAGTATTTATTATAGAATGGAAAATAAAAAACATTTTACAAGAAAAAGTAGATATATAGAAATCTATTTATTAATCTAATGATTACTGTATGATGTAAACAGTATTTAAAATATTGGATTTTTAAAAAAATGATATTCGGCAATTATTAAACAGAATCTTTATAAGAAAATGTTAAATGCCAGTTCCATAACTTATCTCGGCAGCTTTCATACAAGCTATAGTAACATGAGTAACACATATATGTAATGTTTATAGCAGGAATCTAAACTAGGAAGGGCTATGGATGAGCTATATATGTAATTAGATTTGACATTAAAGTCTAATGAGATACCATTGATATTTAGAATCAAAGGGTTTCTTTTCCCACTGCTGAAATCTGCAGTTATGATAATTTGCTTATCAGCAGACTGAAGCCTACAATTATGGATTGAGAATAAGCTCTACTTTGTTCATTACTGCTTAATTTGTTTTCCCAGCAGCCCCATACTACCCCCTTCTTTGTTGGCACTGTTCCCTTGGTGGGATGCAGGCAGTTATGCCGCTAATATAAATAAGAAAGTGAGATCAAAACTCTAATTGAGTAAACTGTGTATGTTCTACACCCTTGGTATTTGTTCATAGATCTCTTCGTATATTGCTTAGAGCTATTTTTTGTGCAGTACAAAATGTTTACCAATGTGGTAGGTGCACTATAGCATAGAGATAGACAAAAGGATCAGCACTAATAAACCTAACTAAAAGATATACATGAAAATACAAAAATGAAAGTAGGCGACACAACTTAAAACATAAGGCTCCCTCTAAGCCTTATAAAAAAAAACCAGAGATAAGTCAAACAGGGGGGATAAAGATTGCGCCAGAAATAATAAAAACAGAGATGTGTTATAACATACATATATAAAATATATATATGTATGTATATAAGTTTTATATATATAGGAGGGCAAACAAATAAAAAGCAAAAGAAAGTTCAAATATAAGTCCAAATGTGAATCCAAATGGTAAAACTTGCTGGAAGATAAAACCTCAAAGAATCAGGGTAGTCCCTCTGGAATGGGGTCAGATACGAGTATTCTTGGCAGCCATATATGCTACAGAAAGAGATAACTAATGGTGCAGAAAATCCCAGAATAACATAAAAGTAAATAAAAAATAAAATGCCTACTCACATTTGATAGAGCTTAACCTAGCTCTAGTCTGAATGGCGTACAGTGGTATAATCCCCACTTATAGGATACATGAGACGATGTAGGTAGGCAGATTATTATCGATATGAAGATCATA